CTGATTAAAAACATTTCTCACCCTCCGTTCACGCCGACGAACTGCAGGTTCTTCTTCGTGCCGTTGGAGTCGGCTCGGCCGTCTTTCTTCTTCATGATGGATTTCAGGGTGCTCTGCCCTGCAGGAGACGCAGAACATCGTGAACCAGAGCCGACAACATGACACATAATCCAGAATCAACTTAAACTCCTCTGATAAATCAAACAGGCTGCTTTAAAACAGTGTGTGTGTTTATCGTTAGTAAAAAGCACCGTGTAGGCTGTTATATCCAAACACTTCAAAACATGAATAGTTCATCGATGCATAAATAAGGAAACTCTTCATCATCACAGCGACACAAAGTTCAACTTCAGGAAGCGACGAGGAAGCAAAGATAAAGACGCAGCGACGAGGAAGCAAAGATAAAGACGCAGCGACGGGGACGCAGCGACGGCAGCGACGGCACCGCCTGCATCGTTTCCTCCTGTTGTCACTTTGATTTGCAGAATGCTTTCGTTTCCTGAGCCGACAGAATAATGTTTAACGGCCGCGCTGCCGTCACGTGATGACTGCGCGTTCACATATTTCTGAACACTGCAGACATTCAGACGTCAGCTACGAACAAAGGTTCGTTCCTCATCAGGACTTCGTCTCAAACAGACCCTCGTCACTAAATTAATAAAGAATAAGATTAAATCAGATCTCGGCCTCTGACATCTGTAAGCTCCAGCTTCTATATTTCCCCTCTGTTCATGAGCGGAGCGCCCCCTGTTGGATTCATGTTAAACAGCTGGACTATTTAGGCTTCCTTTAGTTTACAGCCATGTGTGGCTGAGACATTACAGGACTGTGACAGACTTCTCTGGAGTTTATGCATCATTAAAATAAGAGCATTTATGTTTCTGTTATTTATAGTGTGTAAGGTGAGACTTTTCAGAGTGGAAAGTGTTTTTCCTTCGTCGTTTCCGTCTCTTTCCCATGTTTCATCACGACCCTCCTCATAAAATCATCCCTCCAACTCTCCTCCTGCATAATTAACACACCATGTAACTAAATAGCCCATTGAGCTGGTTACAAAGAGCCGATAACGCCTGAACGCTCCACTAAAAGTTCTGACATGAT